GCGCTCACTTGGGGAGTGAATCATCGGATGGAAGATCTTCCTCTCTGTCTCTCCTCCTCTCTGTATATCTGACTTTCCAATAAATAAATATATCTTTAAAAAAAAAAGATTTACATGTTTTATGAAAGGTGGAGTTACAGAGAGGGAGAGCTCCATGTTTCATCCCTAGCTTCAGTTCCCAGAGGGGCTGGGGCTAGGCAGAACCAGGAGTCTGTATCTCCATGTCCCAGGCGTATGTGCAGGGTCGGGACGGGAAGAGGAGCCGCTGGATCTCACCGGGGACCTGTGCGACACTGACCCCACGGGTGGAACTGAACCCGTGTGCTACAGTGCCAGCCCAAGGCAGATATTCAGTCAGAATTGCAAAGCATGTTGTAGATGAAATGTTTTCAACCGTTTAAAAATGTAAATGTAAAACGATTCTCGGCTCACGAGGTGATCAGGAAGCAGGCCTCCTAGTAGGCCCCCTGGCCCTAGTCTACAGCATGGACTCTGGGGAGAGCGTGGCAGCCCACCTGAGCTGCAAAGCCCTGGCAGAGCAGCATTGTTTAAAACACCACTGACTGCTACTTTGGGAATTTAATCTGGGCTAGTCACAGGCTTTGTTCCATTGTGACGAGAGGATGGGGGCGGAGAGTGATAGATCTTGCATCTGCTGGTTCACTCCCCAAATGTCTGCAGTGGCCAGAGCTGGGCAGGTCCAAGGCTGGGGAGCCAGGAGCTATTCCCAGGCATGGGTGCAGGGGCTCACACACTTGGGCCGTCATCTGTTTTCCTAGGTGCACTCACAGGGAGCTGGCTGGGAATGGAGAAGCTGGAACTCAAAGCGGCCCTCATGGGATGCCAGCACCACAGGTGGCAGCTTGACGTGCTGTGTCACAGTGCCAGCCGCAGTGCCTTCATTTATCTTTACAATTTATTAAAAATAACAAAAGGATGGGGTTAGGCACTGTGGTAGAGCGGGGTGCGACACTGTATCCCGGAGCCTAGTGGCCGGGGTCCAGTCCTGTTACTGCCTCTGGCTTCCAGCTCCTTGCCAACGCACCTGGGAGGGGCACATGATGGCTGCAGCACCTGGAGGGGACCATGTTCACATGCTGGGCTCCTGGCGTTGCCCAGGCCTAGCACAGCTAGTGTGGACGTCAGGGGAGTACCCAGTGGGTGGAAGGACTTTGAATAAACAAACTTTTTTTTAGTTGGAAAGTCAGATATACAGAGAGGAGGAGAGACAGAGAGGAAGATCTTCCATCCGATGATTCACTCCCCAAGCAACTGCAGCAGCTGGAGCCACAACAATCCAAAGCCAGGAGCCCAGTGCCTCTTCTGGGTCTCGCACAGGGGTACAGGGTACCAGGGTCCTCGACTACTTTCCCAGGCCACAAGCAGGGAGCTGGATGGGAAGTGGGGCCGCCGGGATTAGAGCCGGTGCCCATATGGGAGCCCAGTGCATGCAAGGCGAGAACTTTTTCTGCTAGGCTACCACGCTGCGCCCTAAAGAAACATTTTTTAAAAGTTGGAAATGAAACTACCTTTGGTTAACAGGTTTTGTATTTCTGTGATTCAATGAATAATTTTTTTTTTAAGATTTATTTTATTTTTATTGGAAAGGCAGATATACAGAGAGGAGGAGAGGCAGAGAGGAAGATCTTTGGTCCAATGATTCACTCCCCAAGTGAGGCACAACAGCCGATGCTATGCCGATCCAAAGCCAGGAACCAGGAACCTCTTCCAGGTCTCCCACGCGGGTGCAGGGTCCCAAAGCTTTGGGCCATCCTTGACTGCTTTCCCAGGCCACAAGCAGGGAGCTGGATGGGAAGTGGAGCTGCTGGGGTTAGAACCGGCGCCCATATGGGATCCCGGGCATGCACTGCGCCACCGCAACGGGTCCGTGAATAATCTTTAATCACTGGAAATCATGTTTTGAAAAATATATATATATTTTTTTTATGGCAAAGGGAGGTTATATTGTTTTATTTTATTTATTTATTTTTAAAATTTTTATAAAATTTTATTTTGACATTCTTTACATAGTTAATTAGGGTAAGAAGGTTCAAGGGCTACAGGAAAGTGGATAATACTAGTATTTTTTCCATATTGTTACCTTCATGTTTCAAGGGGGGTATTTAAGGGAGAAGGCCCACCCAATTTCCCACCCTCCCAAGGTCCCGGATGTAGGGCATGCTCTGAGGTTCTTGCTCAAGTGGTTTTGATATTGCAACAGTTATGAATTGCTGTCAATCTTGCCACTCCAAGCACTATGAGGGCTTTGAAAAATCCACTGGTTGACATAGTCCATCATAGCTTAGATGGTTGGTTGACCTGTTCTGTCTTCTCTCTTTTCTTAGTTAGGGTTCTGCATTTAGATTAGTCCAGCATTTAGATTAGGAAGATCTCCAAAGAAACTTTTTGTATGTGCTAACAAGTACAGGGCCTGGCACCGTCCATCGCTCCAATCAGCTGGTGGTTGCAATTGCTGGGTTGGTTCTGTTTTCACTGCCGACTTCCACTGGAACCAATGGGTGTTGCAGTCCAGCCTGGTTCTGCCCAGCACATACTTGGCCCTCACATAAACCAGTGGGAGCTGCAGCCTAGTTGGAGCGACCCACAATAACCCCCACCAAGCCCGCCCCCTACCCTGGTTTGCCAGTAAGTGTAGCAGTAATCCAGTCTGTCCCACACCCCATTCCACCCCAGCCGCTATCTTAGTTTTATGTCCTCCTGTGGAAGTGGCAGCCCAAGAGGGATGAGCCCACTGTTTCCCTCCCAGGCCTCTCCCACTCCCAGATTCCAGCTGATGCTGCGTCTAAGCCCAAACAACCCTCACCCACTTTAATTTTGTTTGCACCAGTAGGAATAATCCGCCCAGCCCGGCTTTTCCCTGATCTAGTCCGCATGAGGCGCACAGGTGCGGTAGCTCTGCCTAGTCTGGTCTGCCCCCATCCCAGCCCATGCTCTCCTGCGGAAGTAGCTGTCCTGCAAAGGAACCCTCCCTTATTCCCCTGCCGGCTCTGCCCACTTCCTTTCTTGTTCTGAGGCTGGTTGGGCGCTGCGGTCCCTTCTGGTACAGGCAACCTCACCTCGGCATTCCATAATGTGCACTAGTCTTTGTTGTGACCGACCCTGGGTCGACCCACACTGGTGCCTGGATTTGCCAGTGGATGACGTGGATAGATTCAGCCTGGTCTTGCCCCCACGTCTGCCAATTGTATGCCAGTGGGTAGCTTTCCATGGCCTTTTCAGGGCTGTTTCCTATCATGTTTCTTGCGTTTACCTGCTGGGTCTGTGTCCTGCCAGAGGAGTTGCCCAGGCTCCTCCATCAGAACCTCTCCCAATGCTAGGTTTCACGCTTACCAGTGGGTCCATGAGCCAACCCTACTCAGTCTACCTCCTGTCATAGCAGGAACTGTGGCTTTTCCTGACTGGCCTTCCACCCAATCTGGTTCTTGCTGTTGGATGTTCCAGCCCAGCCATGGTTTGTCCATACCCACGTATGGCTCACACATGGCTCAGTAGGGGTTTGAGACCCTGCCTAGTCCATCCCACATCTGCCCTGGTCCTCCAGAACACCAGGGGGTGTTGGGGTCCGGCCCGGTTCGGTGCATCCAATCCCAGTCCACACTTGTGCCAAGGGAGACTACAACTGTTTCCAGATCAGAACGCAGCCCCCCTTCCAGGCCACTCGCCTTTTGGTGGGAACCTCAACCCAACTAGGGTTGTCCCCTTTGCTCCCCAACTGGGTCTGTTACCAGGCATAGATAACGTGCCTGCCAATGGATGTTCTGACTCAGCTTGGCACAGCCCCTCCCCTGTCCCAAACGCTGCCTTAGACACTGTGGCTTAGCGTCCCTGGCTCCCACAGACCAGCAGGTACAAGAGCCTAGCTCGGCATGACCTCTGCTCCCTCCTGGTTTCTAGTTTTACTTGTGGGCTAAGGTTTGCTCAGTCGTGCCTAATCTACTCTGTTCCATTACAAGTTGACACACTGGCCAGCTGTTGGAGCTACTTTTGCAGGACAAGCCCCAAGCCATAGCTTCTGCATGACTGGTATTTGGTGCTCAGCATTATTAGTGATTACAAGTTTTGCTAAGGAAGAGTTACTGCCTGTTTCAGGTCCAAGAAGCACAGTGGGTTCAACCTGGAGCTAATTAAGCAGCAACTCAAAGAACCAAATCCCCAGAGCTCCCTGGCCGGGCAGCCAGCAGGCAGAACCTGGCCCCAAATGGCACACTGGCCATCCGGGAAAAGCTCAGCACATGGTGCCTGTGCACATGGCGGCTGTCCGGGATCCAGGCATGAGACGCCCCATCCTGAGACCCTCCAGCTGTCAGGAGGCTGCTGGAAGCTTAAATAACCCAGGCCCAAGGTTGCGCCCCTCCCAAATCCCATTCACCACCCCATGAAGGCTGCGGGTGGGTCCCGGACCTGCCCAGTCCCAGAGGCCTCCCCCCTTGGTCTACTCACCCTGAAGGAAGCAGCCCCCGGAACCCAGCAGACCCGGGAAACAGCTCAGCACATGGTGGCTGTGCATGTGGCGGCTGTCCGGGATCCAGGCATGAGACGCCCCGTCCTGAGACCCACCTATGTTTTGAAAAATATTAAACCAAGTGTTTGATATGAGAAAATTAGTTAAAAATTACAATATCTAGTATTTTGAAACATAAAGTATGTGTTTAGTGTAGCGGGTGAAGGAAAAAAGTCAGCATGTACTTTGGCTGACTTATTTGGCCTTACTGTTTTTGATTGCTTTTCCAGTAGCACGTTTGCATTATATGAGCAAGCCCCAAATGGATCAGGCACCATGTGCGTTCTGAAAAAAAAAAAAAAGAATTTCAATTTTATTGGTAACAGAACATCTTTTAGTACCGTTTGCACGAGCTTTTTGCTGCACCTTTGTGGATCGGAGGAGGACTGCTTCCCACGCAGCAGCTCTCAGGGCCTTGACGCCGTTCACTGATTTTCATGCTCTGTAACGTGTGGCCTGTTTCTGCTTGGTGCCACAGGGCAGGGTCCTGTACAAAGTCCGCTGGAAGGGCTACGCGTCGGAGGATGACACGTGGGAGCCCGAGGTCCACCTGGAGGACTGCAAGGAGGTGCTGCTTGAGTTCAGGAGGAAGAACACGGAGAGCAAGGCCAAAGCCGTCCGGAAGGACATTCAGGTACCACGGGCGGTCTCTTACCCCTGTTTTGTTCTTAAGTCCATGAGCTTATTGTAGGCTTCACGTCAGAAACTACATACATAATTTACAAATAATGCATTAATATTATTAGTGTAAATTCCATGTAAGCAGCTGGATTTTGGGGGATGCACGGACAGGCAGTTAGATTCAGGGACCAGGTGCAGGACTGGCCCCAGACACTGTGGTGGGGGACGCTGCCGTCTTAACTGCTGGCCCGGCACCTTTACGTTAGGGAGATACCTGCCACTTCACTTCCGGATGTCTGCTCAGCTGTCCTTGGCATTGGATAAGCTTTTTATACTTTCAACATTAACAATATGGAGTCTTAATTTACATGACCTAAAATGGTATTTTTTTGTAAAGATCTATTTATTTAAAAGGTGGAGTTAGAGAAAGAGCAAGTGAGAAAGAACTGTCCACCAGTTCCCTCCCTCAGTGAGCCCAGCAGCTGGGGCTGGGCTGGCCAGGAGCCCGGAGGCCCTGTGAATGTGCAGCCTGGGGTCTCCTCGGTGGGGTCGTCCTCTGCTGCTGTCCAGGTGCTGAGCAGCGAGCTGGGACTCAGCCAGCGCCCAGGGGGATGCTGGGATTGCAAAGGACAGCGCAGCTGCTGTGGCGGGCTTCAGTGCCAGCCCCTCTGTTGTAGACGAGCTCTCATGGATTCTGTTGCTTTTTTTTTTTTTAATTTTTTGTTTTTTTAAGAGTTATTTATTTTATTGGAAAGGCAGATGTACAGAGAGGAGGAGAGACAGAGAGGAAGATCCTCCGAACGATGATTCACTCCCCAAGTGACCACAATGGCCGGTGCTGCGCTGATCTGAAGCCAGGAGCCAGGAACTTCTTTCCAGGCCTCCCACATGGGTGCAGGGTCTCAAGGTGTTGGGCTGTCTTTGACTGCTTTCCCAGGCCACAAGCAGGGAGCTGGATGGGAAGTGGAGCTGCTGGGATTAGAACCGGCGCCCATATGGGATCCCAGTGTGTTCAAGGCGAGGACCTTAACCAATATGCTATGGCGCTGGGCCCAGATTCCGCCCCTTTTCAAGTATGGCAGTATGTACAATACTGTGGACTCTGAGCCTAAGCACTGAAGCGGACAGGAGTCTAGCACAGATAAAGCTCATGGTGAGCTCTTCACCTTCAGAGGAGCTGTGCTCTTTCTGAGCAATTCTGAGCAAAATGAAAATTGCATTGTTCATTTCCTTTGCCTTGTGGAGGCACACAGTTAATGTGAGCATGTTTTAAGAAATTCATAGAAAATGAGCATAATGGGAAAAAAACATGCAAGGGCTTCCAGATGTTTTACACTAAAACAAACCTACCTCTTTTGAAGTAAGATGCAGAAAGAATCCACAGGTTTCCCTCTGTGCTTCCCACTCCTGAGAAGACTTGGGGAAATAAGTCAATTTTTTGTTTTGTTTTTGCATTTCCACTTGGGATTTATTCTGAGCTTTTTTTTTTTTAATAGAATGTGTTATGATATGGTCACACAGCTATTTTATTCTTTAAGTTTCATTTTAAATTCTACAATAGAAATATATTTTTCATAGCAAATATTAGAACTTATTTGACACAAATCAGTAATATTCAAATCAGTTGGAGAAGTAAGATTGGCATACAGTCTTGTCCCATGCATGTTTGCGAGATAAAACAGCAAAGTTTAAGAACCAGTGTCTTAAGACAAAGCAAAACAAAAAAACCCTGCTTTTGATTTGTTAGCTACTTCGTTAGTAATCAAGTTAAAATTATTCTCAGTATCTTTGGAAATGATGAAATTCGAAACCACTTATGAGCAGCCATGCAGGAAGGCGCCCCTGCTCATCCTGCTTCGGTCAGGGTTCAGGCACTGGCACCTCGGCCCTGTTTACTTTCTAAACTGGTCCGCGACTCTCCCACCAAGTATGCACGCAGCCAGAGCCCCGCGTGCGACACCGCTTCAACTTAGGGAAGTCCTAAGCAGGCGAGAGCCTGTTTGGAGGGAAACCCCGCAAACCGCACTGAAGGCTTCCCAAGGCCTTCAGAATGACTGTGAGTGAACTTTTCAACTTTTTGTGTCTTGTAGAGACTGTCACTAAATAAGGACATATTTGAGGCAAACTCTGACAGTGATCAGCAAAGCGAGACGAAAGAAGAGACTTCTCCGAGGAAGAAGAAAAAGCCGAGGCCGAGAGAAGAAAAAAACCTGGAGGATGTGAAAAAGAAAAAAGCCAAGACCGGGAAGGTGAAGGAGCAGCCCAGCACGGACCCCGAGAGCTCTCCCGAGAGGTTAGTTATTGATTTAAGGACAAAGAAAAGAATCTTGGAAGGCAAAGAAGAATTAAAGGACTCCAAAAAGCCAAAAAAAGATGAACTGAAGGAATTAAAAAAAGCTAAAAAAGGCGAATTGAAAGATTTAAAGACTAAAGTAAGAGAAGATCCGAAAGAAAATAGAAAAGTGAGAAAAGAGAAATCTGCTGACTCTCCGTTGGAGTCCGAGTTCAGTGTGCTGCATGATTCTTCCCACGAGCAGAGTCCGGAAGAATTACTGCCTGAAAACAGGGATGAGAAAGACCCGAGAGGAGCCCAAGATCCGGCGGAGCAGGGCGCAGAGCAAGAGGGCGTCTCGGAGAAAGAGGGGGACGGTACTTTCAGTGCGGAGGAGGATGCTGAGCGCAAAGGCAGGAAGAAGAAAAGACAGCCAAGGAAGACGGAGGACCCGAAGGAGAGCGGAAAGCCAGAGAAGAAGGGTGTTGGCTCAGAGAAGAAGGCTGGCCCTAAAAAGCAAAGGCAAGGCAGTCAAGACCAGGGCAAAGGCACCGCAGAGTTAGACAGACTGACACCCACGGGTGCCCAGACGCAGCCCTCGTGGCCCGCTGCGACGGAGAGCGGCCTCAGGGCCCCGGAGTCGGGGGAGCAGGTGAGTGGGCTGAGGGGCGAGGGGCGCAGACACAAAGTGGCCTCCCAGCTTATTTCTGAGTCTTCAGCTAATTTTGGTAACTTATGAGAAAATGGATGGCTAATTTATGAACAAAAGTGAGGATTTGATTCTTAGGTACTCGGATAACGTGTAACATCGTACGCATGTATCCGCTTATTTTGCCAGCTTTTCTCACCCTGCTTGTATTCTTGACATAAATAATAGTGTCTACACAGTATACTATAGCTTTAACTTTTTAAAAATGTTTATTAAGTTCATCTGCTTGAACAGCAGAAGAGAGATGCCCCATCTGTTGGTTCCTTTCCCAGATGCCCACCACGATGGGGCCATTTAGGTCTCAGGGATGGCAGGGGCTTGAGCCCTGGAGCCAGCGCTGCTGCTGCCCCGGACACATTAGCAGGAAGCTGAACAGGAAATGGAATGCTGTAGAGCAGCACACTCGAGGCTGCTGGCAGTTGAAAGGATTGAACGGGGGAACTCGGAGAAATAAAAATACTCATGCTTGATTTGTAAGCAAAAGAGAAATGTTTTGTAAAGTTTTTGCCAGTTTTTATAATGTTTTTGATAAACATTTTTAAAAAAGATTTTATTTTTTATTGGAAAGGCAGATTTACAGAGAGATAAAGACTTTCCATCTGCAAGTTCATTCCCCAAAAGGCAGAATTGGGCGGAGCTGTGCTGGTCTGAAGCCAAGAGCCATGAGCTTCCTTGGGGTCTCCCCCAGGGGTGGGAGCATGACCCTTAGCAGGAAGCTGGATCAGAAGTGGAGCAGTGGGAATCGAACCAGCACCCATGTGGAATGTCAGTGCTGCGCATGGAGGCATAACTTCCTTTGCTATGGTGCGGGCCCCGAACTTTAAATTTGTAAAGAGAACTGATTTTATGTATTTCATATAAACAGTTTTAAGCCCATGATGATACTTTCCCTCCCTCCCCCTTCCATTTTCCACCATTACAGTTTACAGCAACTTTTAAAATGTATTACTCTAAGAATTCAACAAGTATTCTTCATCCATTCTTGTTTTAGATCTTACGTACATGTTTTTCAGGAGAAAGAGCCCCCAAAAAATGAACCCAAAGAAAAATATCAAAAAAGTTATGATTCAGATAAGGAAGAAAGAACCCGAAGAGAGCCAAAGGGCCCGAAGAGTAAGTGTGAGCACTGGCCTTCGCCATTGGCGTCCAGGTCCCTAACTGTGGGTACAGAGCTGGGGAGCCTCGTCCATTGGAGAGCTCCTGCCACTTGGATTGAGCCAGGCTCATGTGAATTCCTTGTATGTAACAATTGACATTGTTCACTTCATATTTTTTCCGCCTGTTCTTTTGTTCTTCGTCCTTTTTAGTTTGAGAGAATAATTAAAATTGGGAAAAGTGAACCGTTAGTGGGAGCTAAAAGAGGCAGACTTTCGCGCTGCTCTGCAGGCGTGCGCGTTCTGTCGGAAGTAGGGGTTATCTGGGACGGATCATTTTCCTTGAGTCTTTTTCCTGGCACTTGTATGTAATTGTAGTAACATTTTTTTAAAAGATTTATTTATTCTTATTACTTGTCATCAATTTAATCTTTTCACTAGCAGTTAAGGAAATAAGAAACACAATTGATTTGCTTAAAAAAACTTCAGAGGAAAAAAACGATGTTCCTGAAGCTAACCGAAACAAAGACACAGCGGCAGATTGGAAAAGCACGGAAGAGCAGCCAAGCAGGGAGGGCAGACAGACGGTGAAAGACAGGAGGAGCGCACGGGAGGAGTGCGACACGTGGGCACACATCGCCGCCGAGGGGGACCAGGAGCTGCTGGACAGCGTGCTCCACTCGGACGAGAACCCAGGTGAGTCCCCCGGCCTCGCACGGCTGCTTCAGGGTGCCAGCCGCCTGCCACTCTGACCTCCAGATGAAAAGAATGAAGTGGAAGGACTTTCCTTAGACTCTTCTCAACAACTAACTTTTTTTTTTTTTATTTTGAAGACTTCAGTCATTCTGTGGTATATAACTAGATCAAACATTTTCTGATTTCCTGTCATTTCATCCGCAACCATGAAGATCCCTGATTCTGTACCTGCTTCTCCAGCGTACTACTCTTAATACATTTCAGACGGTTTCAAACCAGATTACATACAGCTTTATTTATAGCCAGCCTTTTTTTTTTTTTAAGACTTATTTATTTTGATTGTAAAGTCAGATTTACAGAGAGGAGGAGAGACAGAGAAAAATATCTTGTGTCCACTGGTCCACTCCCCGAGGGCCGCAATGGCTGGAGCTGAGGCAATCCAAAGCCAGGAGCCAGAAGCTCGTCCGGGTCTCCCACGTGGCTGGTGAGACCCAAGGCTTTGGGCCGTCCTCGACTGCCTTCCCAGGCCACAAGCAGGGAGCTGGAAGGGAAGTGGTGCTTCCTGGATTAGAACCGGTGCCCATATGGGATCCTGGCACGTGCAAGGTGAGGACTTTAACCACTACACTATCGCGCTGGGCCCTACAATTAGAATTCTAATACTAAAATATGTGTGGACAACTCAAGAAAAGCCACTGTTAGTTAATTCAGTAATAATCAGAATTTGGTGTATCAAACATACTATAGCAATTGAGTTTGGCTGTTGTGGTTACCTTTAACATTCTTCACGGACCCAACGCCATGGCCTAGTGGTTAAAGTCCTCTCCTTGAATGTGCTGGGATCCCATGTGGACGCTGGTTCTAATCCTGGCAGTCCTGCTTCCCATCCAGCTCCCTACTTGTGGCCTGGGAAAGCAGTCGAGGACGACCCAAAACCTAGAGACCTGGAAGAGGCTCCCGGCTCCTGGCTTCGGATTGGTTCAGCTCCAGCTGTTGTGGTCACTTGGGGGGTGAGTCATTGGATGCAAAATCTGTGTCTTTTCTCCTCTCTGTATATCTGACTTTGTAAGAAAAAAAAAGAGAAAAAGATTCTTCTTGGGACACATGCATCTCATATCGATGTTCGTCGGGTCAAGTCCCAGCTTCACCTCCTTGGACTCCATCTTCCTGCTGCCGTGCCTTCTGGGAAGCAGAGGCGATGGTTTCCTGCGTGTCTGTGGGAACTGCACCGTGTTCCAGACTGCCGGTTTCCCCCCGGCCCAACCTCAGCCGCCTCAGAACCTGGGGAGGGAAGACCCATTCATGCAAACCCTGTGTCCTGAACAGCTTGTGTCTTGCAGACGGCCGGCATCAGAGCCTGGGCGTGGACTTGCAGCTGGAGTGGATGAAGCTGGAAGATTTCCAAAGGCACCTTGACGGGGGAGACGAGAGCTTCGCCATAGCAGATGCAATTCCAAGCAGTGAGTAGCTTGCAAAGCTTAGGAATCCCAGGCTCAGGGCCAGTTACATAGCTAAAACCTAACTGGTTTTCCCTTTTGTTTTAGATTTGCTGAGAGACGCTGTCAAAAATGGGGATTACATTACTGTAAAGGTTGCACTTAATTCCAGTGAAGAATATGATCTGGACCAAGAGGTAGTACGCCTTGGTAAAAACCCCATGAAAGGGAGGAGGTTTTATTAGAAGTGTGGTACTGAACCCCCAGGACGACCACAGGGTGGAGTCCGGGATCTGCAGCGTTAACGGGGTCTCCGTTTCCACGTACCTATTTGTGCCTCTTCGTCAACAGCCCACTTACCGCAACTTCCTGTTTTTTTTAAGAGATTTCTCTTCATCACGGTACTATTTTTTAAATAGAAACGCATAGTAAACCTTCCTAAATGTATGTTCTCAGCCTTACATCGCTCAGAGGATTTTTAGTTTTAGGTGGTTACATCTGTTGATGATTTTCATTATGACTAAAGTGTGTCTTGTGTAGAAAGCATTACACTCTGGACTTGGTTTTTATTTTTATGGCAAAGGCAGATAAGTATAGAGAAAAATCTTCTGTCCGCTGGTTTACTCCCCAGTGGCTGCAGCGGCAGGAGCTGAGCCAATGTGAGGCCAGGAGTCAGAGCTTCCTCCTCCAGGTCTCCCACCTGGGTACAGGGTCCCAAGGCTTTAGGCCGTCCTTGACCGCTTTCCCAGGCCACAAGCAGGGAGCTGGATGGGAAGTGGAGCTGCCGGGATTAGTACCTCCACCCATATGGGATCTGGGCATGGTCAAGGCAAGGACTTAGCCGCTAGGCCATGGCGCTGGGCCTGCCTGCTTTGATCTTCGTGGTCTTTCCCCCACTGCTTGGTGACTTCTCGGCCTGGACACTCACACCCTCTGCTGTTTCTGCACCGAATGAAATCCACGTGATTCTGATCATTGTGAAGTTACTGCCTTTAGGTTTATAGTTGGAGAATTTCATCCTTTGCCTCATAAACTTTTTTTTTTTTTTTAAAGATTTATTTTTATTATTTTTTCATTGGAAAGGCGGATATACAGAGAGGAGAGACAGAGAGGAAGATCTTCCGTCCGATGATTCACTCCCCAAGTGAGCGCAACGGGCCGATACTATGCCGGTCTGAAGCCAGGAGCCTCTTCCGGGTCTCCCACTTGGGTGCAGGGTCCCAAAGCTTTGGGCTGTCCTTGACTGCTTTCCCAGGCCACAGGCAGGGAGCTGGAACCGGCGCCCATATGGGATCCCGGGCGTGCAAGGCGAGGACCTTTAACCACTTGCGCCACCGCGCTGGGCCCTGCCTCATAAACTTTTACTCTTTGTGCCTTTAAAGCAGGTCATACGTGTTTAGACCGAAATCCTGGAATATTACACTTTAGTGATTTTAGATTGAGGCATCTTAGGTGAAAAGACTTGACTTTAAAATTGTTCTGAAGATGAACAAGTTTTCTTTTTGATGAAACCTCCCCAGGATTCCAGTGGGATGACACTGGTCATGCTTGCTGCAGCAGGGGGACAGGACGACCTCCTGAGACTCCTCATCACCAAAGGGGCCAAAGTGAACGGGCGGCAGAAGAACGGGACCACCGCGCTCATCCACGCCGCGGAGAAGGTCAGCCGTGGCCCGGGGGTCCCAGGCTCCCGTGCCATGTGATTGCCACATGCCTGCCCCAGTCCATCTGTGACAGTGTGCTAGCCTGTGCTGCATAAGTGCGTAGCACTTGGATTTGCAGAAATGCGATTCATCTGCTTGGAAATAATTATACGGAAAAGGCCGTCTTGTGGTCCACATTAATTTCAATCTCAGATAATTTCAGTATTTGTTCTGACTGAATTTAAGTATTCCTTTTGGTCTGTGCTTGAAAATATTTCTTAAGGGCTCTGTGGTGAGACCGAGAGTTAACCCTTGGTGGACCTCCTGCACTGTTTCTATGCAGTGCAGGGCGAGGGCTCAGGAACGCTGGCTAGCTACTCCTTGGAAAAGAAATCCACTGAATATCTTTCCTGATGAACAAAAATTTCAAATACATTTCTAAAAATTGGGCTAATAGTTGTTCCTTGTTCATCTTCTTTAAATAGAACTTTCTGACGACAGTGGCGATCCTCCTAGAAGCTGGTGCTTTTGTGAATGTCCAGCAGAGCAACGGTGAGACCGCACTCATGAAGGTAAGCGCTGCCTTGGCCATCCGTCCTGGCTGGAAGTGGGCACCTGCCCCACCAGACCCGTGGAGGATGGGGCAGCCTCTGGGCTGCAGCAGTGGGCAGCGCCCTCAGGAGCTCGATGCGGGCAGTGTCACCCCGAGTGCTGACACAGCGGTACCCCTGAGCAAAGCCTGATGAGCCCGAAGGACATACAGGTCAGGGTGCAGTAGGTACGGCAGCAAAAAGTGGCCCTGGCCGGTCGGGGGCTGCAAGCCGGAAAAGAGCCCCCGTGCCACCGGTCCCCTAAAGGCCTGTGATTGATGTGGGAGACAGGGAGTTCCTTTGTGCTGCTTTGTTCTGCCTCAAATGACAGGAGGTGACGGGACCCTCAGCAGCTGCCATCACCGACTCCCTCCTGCAGCCCAGAGCCAGGAATGCACCTGTTGCTCTCCTGCACGCCCTAGCCGGCATCCCCACTACAAAGTCAAAGACACACCGTTCTGATGCTTGCAGCCTTCCTGGGGCACAGCTCGGTCCTGCTTCCACTTGCCTGGCAGTTCTCAGAACCCTGAGAGAGAGGGTCCGTGTCCCTTCCATCTCCTCCCACACGGCTAGCTGCCCCTTAGCCTTGCCGGGAGCGTCGCTCCCAGGTCGCTTTTGTGTCAGCAGGTGAGCCGTCAGTCTGGCCCTCAGTCTGCTCTTCCGTCCTGTTCTGCAGGTCCAGCCACGTGCCCCTGGGCCTCTGGCCACACTTGGAATCTGAGCCTCACTCACTGCTTTGTGCTTGTCTTATCTTTGGTTCATGAAAATGTTGGTTTTACCTAGTAGGAGACTGAGCTTACTTTTTTTCATTTTTTTGTTTATTTTTTGTTTTTTTGTTTATTTTCATTACAAAGTCAGATATACAGAGAGGAGGAGAGACAGAAGGGAAGATCCTCCATTCGATGATTCACTCCCCAAGTGACCACAATGGCCAGTGCTGCGCCAATCCAAAGCCGGGAACCAGGAACCTCTTCCGGGTCTCTCCCACACGGGTGCAGGGTCCCAGGGCTTTGGGCCGTCCTCGACTGCTTTCCCAGGCCACAAGCAGGGAGCTGGATGGGAAGTGGAGCTGCCGGGATTAGAACTGGCACGCGTGTAGGATCCCGGCGCGTTCAAGGCGAGGACTTTAGCCACTAGGCCACGCCGCTGGGCCCCGAGCTTACTTCTAAAACTGATTTTGCTATGGGTTTCTCTATGGGGCCAAGGTCTACCTGAATAGCACAAGGGGCTAAGCACCTGTGCAGTGGGGCTGGCCTAGACAGGGCCCCCCGGAGGCAGGGCTGCGATGCTGAGGGCAGAAGCAGCCACTGGGCAGCAGAGGGGCTTCGGGAAGGCCTCAGGCTCATCTTGGGACTGAAGGATCCTTTTTGAGATTGCCCATTTCTTCAAGGTTAGTCACTGACCTTGACTGAATGTAGCGCCCTCACAGGACCTGCCATTCACTGAACTGTGGGACTCTGCAGGTTCTGACACTTGCACAAGCCTCACCCCAGCGTTCTGTGCCTCTGTCCCCCTTCGCAGAGAACTGCCTGGAGTATGCGGTTCCACTTGGTATGTAAATAACCAGTTAAATAACTATTCTTTTTCCTTTCCACAAACCTAGGCCTGTAAAAGGGGAAATTCCGATATTGTACGACTTGTAATTGAATGTGGAGCAGACTGCAATATTTTATCAAAGCATCAAAACAGTGCTTTGCATTTTGCTAAGCAAAGCAACAACGTGCTTGTGTATGATTTGCTCAAGAGTCACTTGGAGACGTAAGTGTGAAATGACTGCCATGGTTAAGTCACAGTGATGATGTATCTATTTATTTGAACACACACTTAGAATGGTCCATGTCCCCCCTTTGGGACAAGAAGATCATGAGCTTTTAGTAAGTGACATTTTACTAATTTTTTTTTTTTAATTATTAAAATCTCAGAAAATTTCGAAGCTACCACTAGCATATCTGGGAATATGTCCTTCAACCACGTAGTCTGCTGTGCCTTTGGTGTCTTCTCGTCTTGAAGTAAAGGAAGGTCCAGAGATTTCCCAAGTGCCCCTCGGTGCGCACACGGCTGGCCCCCGTCCCGGTGTCCCTGGGCACAGTGGCAGTCTTCAAGGCATACGGTCACTCTTGGTGTTGTGTTCTGTGGTTTTAGACAAGTGTGCACTGAAGTGTGTGTTCACTGCTGCAGTGTAAGGAATCCGCTGCACTTCCTCAGTTCCCCCCGGCCCCCTGCGTCCTAGCAACCCCTGTCCTTGTTTGCTTTTGAAAAGCCTCTTCCAGAGTGACGGGCGTGAGGCATCATTCCACGGCTGCAAATGGCTTCTTCCAGTTAGTGAAGGGCACGGGTTCTTCCCATGTCTTCTCACGGCTTCATACACAGCTCATCTCTGTGATGCTGACATTTCATTGTGTGGATGTACTATAGTTTATGCAAGTTCATTCTCTGAGTTACGTTCATGCCTCATGACACCCGGTAATTTGGTATCTTTTAGTCACTGACACACTTTCCTTTTGGCATCATCTCTCAGACCCAGTCCGTCACAGCGCGTCCTGTCCACAGGATGAGCTCTGGGCAGGCGTGACCCTTCCCTGGGGTCGCTTCATGCCTGCAAGACAGTGAATAAGTATTCCAATTTTAGACAAGAGACCTAGAAGGCAGACACAGTTTCAGAGGAGAGCTGGTCAGTGGTCTGTTGGTTCCCTTCCCAGACGGCCACGGCAGCCAGACAGGGCTGGGCCAGGCCAAAGCCAGGAGCCACCAACTCCCCCGGAACCCCCCACACCCCAGCCTTGCCTTCCCCCGCACCCCAGCCTGGCACTCCCACCTGCCACTCCAGTCTGGGGTGCTGAGGTCAAGTGGCGGCTTAGCCAGCCCCGGCCCCATGGTTCCTCTGGTTGACATGGGAAGGCCTCACTTGTATCTGGCAGTCTAAATGATAACTGCGGGCTTGCAGCGTTATTAACAATTTCTGTCATGTTCTCTCAGACTTTCAAGAGTGGCTGAAGAGACCATAAAGGATTATTTTGAGGATCGCCTCGTTCTGCTAGAACCTGTTTTCCCAATAGCCTGTCACCGGCTCTGTGAAGGGCCAGACTTTTCCACCGATTTCCATTATAAACCTCCACAGAACATACCAGAAGGTAAGCCTCGACACATATATTTATTTTTATTGGAAAGGCAGATTTACAGAGAAGGAAAGACAGAGAGGAAGATCTCCTGTCCACTGACTCAATCCCCAAGTGGCCACAACGGACAGAGCTGAGCTGATCTGAAGCCAGGAACTGGAGGCTTCCTCCTGGTCTCCCAAGTGGGTGCAGGACACAGGCTTTGGGTCATTCTCTACTACTTTCCCAGGCCATAAGCAGGGAACTGGATGGGAAGTAGAGCCACCGGGACTTCAACGGGAGCTCATATGGGATCCTGATGCATGTAAGGCCAAGATGTAGCTATTTGGGGCCCCTGGTGAGGTAGCCTGGCAGTTGAAGTCCTTGCCTTGCATGCGCCAGGATCCCATATGGACACTGGTTCTAATCCTGGCAGCCCCGCTTCCCACCCAGCTCCCTGCTTGTAGCCTGGGAAAGCAGTCGAGGATGACCCAATGCCTTGGGATCCTGCACCTGCCTGGGAGACCCCAAATAGGCTCCTGGCTTCTGGCTTCAGATTGGCTCAGCTCAGGCCATTGTGGCTACATAGGGAGTGAATTGGTGGATGGAAGATCTTTTTCTGTCTCTTCTGTATATCTGACTTTCTAATAAGAAAGATAAATAAATCTTAAAAATATAAAACCCAAGGAAGTAACTGTAACAATTATATCAGGCCCAGCACAATGGCTCAGTGGCTCTTGTAGCCACTTGGGGAATGACTCAGTGGACAGAAAATCTCTGTGTATCTCCTCTCTATAAATCTTCCTTTCCAGTAGTAATAAAGAAATCAACAGGGTCAGGTGTCATGGTAGGATTAAGCTGTGGCCTGGAACGCCCCCGTCCTGTGGCACTGCCTACCCGTGGGCACCCCAGGAGGCAGCAGTGCTGGCCCAGGTACTCGGCTCCCTGCCACCCATATGGGAGACCCCAGATGCACCTACAGACCCGGGCTGCTCCAGCCCTGGCAAGCATCTGGAGAGAGAGAGAGAGGTAGCAGGTTGAGGAGATCTCTGTCTTTTTCCAAATAATTAAGAAAATAACAAATAGCAGAACTGGTAGGAAAAGAAATATCTATTAAATCTCTGTTAACACCTATTAAGAAGCACGTGTTACCAGGATAAAGCTTGTGGTTTTTGCCTGGCATAGTGCTGACTGTCTAGGGAGCGATCAGGAAGGGTGAGCACAGAGCTTTTAAAAAGAAAGAAAAGGCATTTTATGCAAATTTTGCTTCAAGATTCTTAGATCTTGGCTATTAGAAAAATTAGAAAGTTTAGCTTGGCAGCTCCTGTGCGGGCTGGACCTCTTTAGCACAGGCCTGCATAGGTCAGTGCAACGCAGGCTGCAGGCGGGAAGCCAGCTCCGACTCTGAAATAACAGGAAATCCAGCCTAATCAGCACCTCACTATATGGACTGTTTGCATACAGAATCCTCAGTGCTTCCACCTGGGAGCGCCAGCGGCAGCTGTTCTGCCCCCCACAACTGGACTATGTGATTTTTTTTCTTGCACATGCGCCATGGCTGCATGTCCTGGAAATTGTATTCCTATGTAATCTTGCAGGCATCCTTATCCAGCGGGTTTTCCTGACTTCTGCCGTTGAGACAGTGGGCCAGGATCAGGACCATCGGTCTGTTCCTTGGTGTCCTCCGTGTGCATCTGAGGAGGCCCAGTGCTGACACATGCGCTCCGAGCTTGGACCACACATTCTGTGATTTTCTCAGTGCCCGGGGTCCTAGTGTAGCAGTCTAGCTGGGAGCCTCCCAGGATACCCCTCCAGGGGTCACCTCACACTCGAGTCTTGTGTGCAAGGTCAGGTTTGGTCTTTCAGCTACAGCAGCCAACACAAAGGATACAAGTTTGCTTGTCATCCCAGCCGGACAGCCACAGACCTGGTCCTCACACTTACCATCAGTTACCGTGGCCTAATCCATCAAGGCTGCTGCCAGCCTCTACTGTGGCCAGCCCAGCTCAGCCTGTATCCCATCTGGCTCTGGTGCACACCCAGGGGTGCTCAGCCTGACCTTCCCACAGGCTCAACCCTCATGTATGCTGACAAGTGCTGTGGCCCTCAGCCCTGGCTCTTGCGCTCAGCAGCCATAGGTACAGCCTAGCCTGGGAGGTAGCGGCCAGGGGGCACTGCATTCCAGCCTGACAAAATCACACCTAGTCCCAGCACTTGCCAGCTGGTGCTGTGCCCTAGTTCTGCTGGCCCGCACCCAATCTGGGTCTTGTGCGTGCCAGGAGGTACAGCAACTTAGCCTGTTTGTAGACATGGCTCACACAAACACTAACTACAGGCTCTCCTTGCCTGGCTTGTCTGCAACTCCTGGCTTTTGTGCCGCCCAGCAGGAGAGTTCCCCATGTTCCCCTCCTAGGCCTGCTCCCAGCCCTGTGTCGCACATGCCAGCAGGTGCTGGAGCCTCGCTTAGATGGTCACCTTCAAGCTCAGTCTTTGCATGGGCCAATGGGTATGGGAACCTGGCCCCGCCCGACTACTTCCCAGCCCCCCTCCCACAAGCATCTGGTAGGTTCCCATCAGTGACCCCATCTCTCCATGTAAGCCAGTGAGTACTGGGGCACACAGGCAAGCCACAGGTAACCTACAGAAACTGCTCCCAGATCTGGTCCTCTCCACTGGTTCTGGTGGGTGCTTGGCCCAGCCTGACACAGCCTACCCCTGCCGTGACACTCAGGAGCAGGTGCCGAAGCCTAGCCCATCTTGTGCATGCATGCGTCAGTGGGCGATGGGCGATGCTGTTGCCCAGCTCAGGTCTCCCAGTCTAGGTGGGGGTCTTGACTTGATCCTGTCCTCTGGTTTCCCCCCCTCTAAACCACTCACTTGCCTATTTGTGAGTGCAGTGGCTTGTGAAGGACTCCACAAGTTGTTCTTCCACTGTCAGACATGCATCCCCACTGCAGTACATGCCAGTGCCCGTCATGCCCCCTTTGCAGGCAGTCTGTAGCCCCCTGGCTGGGCTGTGGTGTGGCATAGCCAAGAAAAAAGTAACCAGCAACTATGCTGGCGTACTGCTAGTGTTGCACAATTTTGGCATTAACGAAGGCCAGAATGCCTGCCACTAACCAGCTACTGGCTACTTTACTCTCAGTGGTGTGACTCTTGAGTACAAAGGGATCAATTTTATTTTATTTTACTATCTAAATGCCTGTGAACTGCTAAAGCCAGGCCAAGCTGAAGCTAGGACCCATCTGGGCCTAACCAAAAGCAAGCACTTTGGGCCATCAGTGCTGCCTCTTAGGAAAAAAGTCAGCAGAAAGTCAGATCGGAAGCGAAGCAGCAGGCCAAGGCCCTGCCCCTCAGATGAAGGAGGGTCAGCACCCCAAGCAGTGCCCGCGCTCCAGTGGACGGGTGGCTCAGCCTGTCCCCTGGGCTCCCAGGAGTCCATTGTAATCCTCTCCCACTTCCTCCCACAGGCTCTGGTGTTCTGCTCTTTATCTTTCATGCCAACTTCCTGGGTAAGGAAGTTATTGCTCGGCTCTGCGGGCCATGCAGCGTACAAGCTGTAGTGTTGAATGATAAATTTCAACTTCCTGTTTTTCTGGTAAGATCTTCCATAGCTGAGATTTACAAAGTAAGTCTTCTATTGAAGAACATAGGTGATTTAATTTTCACTAACATTTGGTGAACAGCCCAGTAAGCCAGTTGTTGGCAATAAAGGAGTATTCGCATAGATTTTCCTGAAAAATTTAAAGTGTTCATAAATTTAAAGTGTTCACTTCTTTTTGTTAACCTATGCTTATGCAGCACTAGGTAGCCAGATAAGTACATTTAAAAAATAATTGTCAAATATTTTGACACATTTCTCTTGCCACTTTTAAAATTCCTTCCTTGGTCTGAACTGTAACTGCATGTGTTCCTACCCAAAGATTACCTAGATTTAACAAATCAAGAAAAAAAATTGCTAACCTACTGACTTTTCTAAATACAGTGTGTCATTTGCTTTTATTCTGTTTGAGTCTTGGTGGTTTCTGGTACCTGTTGACCAGTGTTACTACAGTCCAGCTCTGCTGTCTGCAGATGTAGAGTTTTATCTAAAGATACTGCCTGGTTTTCTCTCTCCCACTGCAGGACAGTCACTTTGTCTACTCCTTCAGCCCTGTCGCAGGCCCCAACAAGCTCTTCCTGCGACTGACCGAGGCTCCCGCAGCCAAGGTGACCATCCTTCCCTCGTACTTATTGTTTTTTTTCTCAAATGCTTGTGCCAGTTTCCGGTTTCAGTAGAAACAACTTGTGTGCCAGTTGCAGAGTGCCTGCCCAGAGGGCAGAGCTGCCAAGCTCTGTGCTTGGACCTCCAGTCTGGCGAGCAGAGCTCTCCCATTGGAGTGCCCGATACGTACGCTGGGCACCGACTTCTCTGTGTGACAGGAAACCGGGCTGAAATATTATTTGATAAAGTTATTTAATAGAGTAACCTAAGTCATCACATGTGCAGTCTGTGTTAGAGTCCCCGTCGTGTACTAAGCACTGTGTAGACCGTCCCGCCTGGAGCTGACTCCATGCTGCTTCTCTTCCCCCAGGTCAAGCTGCTGATAGGCGCGTACCGAGTGCAGCTGCAGTGAGCACGAGGAAGGACTGGATGAAGGCGTCTGCACGCTTAGCCTCAACTCTGGAAGCAGTCTGGGGTTCCACTGGCTGCCTTAAAAATGTCCAGTTCTGTCTGTGAACCTCTTTCATTTTAAACCTGTCATCTAGATTACATTTTCCAAGAGGGGGCACGGTGATTCTGACACATGAAAAAATACAGATGTTAAGTGTTGGTGCCAGTATTGTGAATTTACAACAGTGTGTCCAGACTGCATATTAATTTTTTTTCCACAAAGTGAAATGGTATATATTAAGATTATTTAAGAAAGTTAAGGCAATTTTTTTAAACTTGCGATTTTCTACTGGCCCCGGTGAACTTTTTGTTTATAAAGAAAAAAATGTCAGGGCCTGGCACAATAACCTAGTGGCTAAATCCTCACCTTGCATGTGCTGGGATCCCATATGAGCACTGATTTGTGTCCTGGCGGTCCTGCTTCCCATCCAGCTCCCTGCCTGTGGCCTGGGAAAGCAATGAAAGACAGCCCAAAGCCTTGGGACCCTGCACCCACGTGGGAGACCCAGAAGAGGCTCCTGGCTCCTGGTTACGGATCAGCTTGGCTCTGGCCACTGGTTATGGCCACTCGGGGAATGAACCAACAGACAGAAGAGCTTCCACTCTGCCTTTCCAATCTTCCTTTCTAATAAAAAGAAAAATAAATCTTTTAAAAAAGAAAGAAAAAAGTCCAAGTGTAAAGCATTGGATTAAAGTGAGAGGCATGCTTAGTCCTGTCACAGTATGGGCTGCAGCCCCGAGATGACTAGCCCATCGGACATGGTGATGGTGGGAACTCTGATGTGTTGCACACATGGCCCTGGTGGGAGTAACTTTGTAAGCAGTTCTCAGAAAAGTGGCAGGGTCCTGAGAAGCACGTGAGTCAGGGCCTGCTGAAACTCCCTTGCACGCTCCCGGCTAGGCAGATCCCGGGTTCACCTTCGGTGTCACAGAGTCCTGCTGTGCGAGTTAGTGCTGCTGTAGCTGACAGGCACAGCCAGGCGCCCGCTGCTCCACTGAGCTACCGCTAACATACATGATTGCTGCACACGGTAAACAGGTGACGGACTGCACCGTGGAGGCTCGTCAGACGATCGCTCCTACTGTGCGTCATCAGACTGCTTTTCCTGCAGGTTTTCTCAATAAAACACACTTCTCTCAAACGTCACAACTCCAGTGTGACCTGAACCATAGGATATAATCATATAATAGTACTACATTTCATTGCTTTCAGAGGGTTAAGCTGGAAATTAGAGGAGACGAGTCATAACACTGAGAATCAACTACGAAAACAGAGCCAAGATAGAAATAAGAAAATCTCCGGGTCCTTTAAGAGTTTGGAAGCTATGGAAGGCCAACAAAGCTGACATGTTATCACTGACTGCTCTTGCTCTACTGCCGCCACACGAGCACAGTTCGCTGTCCTTCACCCAAAGTAAAAGGTTGATGAAAACTCAGAGTGTGCCTACCTGAGAGAAATACAACTGAAACTTATTCTGCTCTGAACACAGCTTCTTGACACCCAGAGAACTTTGTTGAGTGCACTAGTAAGAGGAAGTGCTGAAAGTTCTGGTTTCTTCGGGATAATGAGGAGTGGAGAACCAGCGAGGGTCTCCTCCGGGGCTGTTCCTGGCTGCTATGAAGACTGCCGGATGGCGACTCCGCGCTGTTGTTTCTGCATGTGAATAAGACACACTCTGAAAAAGCCTTGAGCCTGACTCCTGGGACAGCAAGGGCAGTTCTAAAGCAACATCCCCCGAGTTTCACAGAGGAACTTGGACATGCAGTGCACAAGACGGGGCATCTCCCGGCCAAGCAGAGCTTTGTCAAAGCAGCTATTCTCCAGAGTTGGGTTCCAGTCTTATGCCACACCTGGGATGCCCACTTTCTGGAAGTAGAAAGAACTCCATTTGGATCCACCAGCCTGGAAGTCTGCGGGTCAGTGTCTGAATCTTTCTAAGTGCAATATGTCCATTTTTAAAGAAAGTGGCACGGGAGTTTTTGAAATGCAAACCAAAATTGGAAATTGTCTCTCCGTTCTGTTGGTCACGCTGAGCACCGTGGAGACTGAAGCCTGGCACAGATGCATCTAAGCCAAGTACCTGCGTCACATCCTCGCTCTGCCTATATTTGCCTTAAACCAAGCTGTACACTGCCCCCCCTTATGTAAGTCCCGTATTTAAGTGGCTGGAGTTGAGCTCTTCTAGTTCCAACCCCCTGCTAACGTGTACCCTTGAAAGCTAGGACACCAGTACACTGAGAAATGCCAGGCCAGGCTCCAGGTCCCAGCACAGCACACACATACCCCTTTATCCCGATCCACAATCACTGCAGGTCCCTCAACACCCAGCTTACAGCCTGACGACCACCACTCACAGTTGGAATTGACACCTCCCTAATTTCACTGCCCAAAGTTTTCTGAAATAATCTTGTTCAAATTCCTTGTCCAGTTTTGCACATGAAGCCCACAGAACTCTGGCCGAGAGCATCTCTCATGGCCTGGAGCGCTAAGGGCAGCCCAGCTGCGTTCCGAACCTGAAGGGGTGGGACCACTGCCCCGGGCCAACGGGGCACACTCGGCTCCCTCAGTCCGGCAGAGACCCAGAACTGACTCTAACAACAGATCACTTAGGTTCAGGCTGTGGACTTTCATATAAATGTGACTTTCCCAACAATGACAACTTTCCCCATCTATGGGACTATTCCAAATTACCAGGACAGAAAAAGATTTAAAAAAAAAAATCCTCTAATATGAGAAGGCATCAGAAAATAAAAGGTCGGGACCCTGCCATCATTGCGGGAGACCAGCAGCTGCTCCTGGCTCCTAGGTCTCACTGGCCCAGACCTACTGTTGGGACGTTATGTATAATGAACGGACAGAAAAGCTGACCTGCCCTTTATAATTGTTTTTTTTTTTTTAAAGATATTTATTTATTTTGCAGTCAGGTAGACACAGAGAAACATAAAGGAAGACCTTCCTTCCACTGATTCACTCCTCAAGTGGCCTCAACGGCCAGAGCTAGGCTGATCCGAAGCCAGGAGCCAGGAACTTCCTCCAGATCTCTCACGTGGGTGCAGGGTCCCAAGGCTTTGGGCCGTCCTTGACTGCTTTCCCAGGCCACAAGCAGGGAGCTGGATGGAAAGTGGAGCTGCTGGGATTAGAACTGGCGCCTGTATGGATTCCTGGCACGCTCATGGCAAGAACTTTAGCCACTTGGCCACTGTGCTGGGCCCTCTGTAATTCTTTTAAGTAACTAATCATTAAAATAAAACTCCCACCCCAGAGCTTTTATTACCACCAGGCCACAGGTGGGGTCGGAGGGTGTGTTTCGTCAGCAAGTTCCCAGATGACGATGCTAGGCTAGGGATCACAGTTTAAGAAGCACTGCATTGTGTGAACCCAAATATTCTTAAAAGATGAAATTTCTCTAAGCTACAGAAACATCAGAGCTTCTGAAACAAAAGTATATAAAAATACCAGGTTGGGGGGGGGCGGTGTTAGACGCGCTGGGACTCTTGTGCCAGACTCAGACCCACGTGTCCCAAAAGTCCAATGCAGCAATATGAAAACACTTACCTTCATCAAATAAAATGTTAGAAAAGCAACACAACGGGCCGAGGATGAAGAGGCCGGTCCTCTACTTCAAGCCCCAGGACCCATAGGTGCACTCATTCCTGGTCAGGCTGCTCTACTTCCCACCCAGCTTCACTACTTAAAGACTGGAGAAGTAGCTGAGAATGACCCACGGCCTTGGGACCCTGCACCCACAGGGGAGACCAAGAAGAACCTCCTGGCTCCTGGCTTCACATCGGCTCAGCTCCAGCCATTAAAACCCCCGGGGGGAGTGAACTGCGGGATGGAAGAAATCTCTTTCTCTAGGGGGGTCTCTCCTTTGTATAAATTTGCCTTATCAAAAAGTAAAATAAAAAGAAATCTTTTTTATACATACATATATATCCTGAAAATAATATTTTCTGAGTCTTCTAAGATGTCAATGTTTCCACTGGAATCACAATATGAATGTTCCAGAAAAGAAATTGCGAGTCCTTCCAAACCAGCAAACAGCAGAGAGAAATACGGCCAGTGCTGCTGTACCTTTCAAAGACATGATGCTAAAATTTGAAAATCGGAGAATCATTGAAAAATCATAGATCATTTTTTCTCACTGTAAAAAAAGACAATTTTCATAGGCCATTTCTCTGCTTAATCCGCTTTTCACTAAAGACAGTAGTCAGGAAAGAGGGCACCAAGTTGGAGTGGACAAGAACCCAGCTAACCTTGCTTGGCAGTGACCTGGCAGGGCAAGCCCTGGTGACTGGCAGTGCCACACACACTCATCTGCAGGGCTCTAGGAAAACCCTGGGATGATCAAGAGATTTGGAATCGGCAAGAATGGCAAACGGAAATCAGTACTTGAGCTTTGACAAAATAAGGAACAGATGCCAACTGACCTGAATACATGTGTTCAGCTCTCTTGCTTTTCAGGCTCTTTAAAATTTCTCTGGAAGCTGGTGAGCATGCGTCGCTTCAGCCCTGCTTTCGTGCACCACCCTAGAAATACAATAAAATCGAATTTAGCTTTGTAAAACCTGATTTCCAACATGGGTGTTCGTAACAGCTAAGACTCCACTTGCAGTGTCTCTATCCCATTCTTCAATGCCTGCAGTTCAGCTCTCTCCCGGTTCTGAGTCCCTGCTAATACACACCCCGAGAGGCACCCAATGATGGTTCAAATATGGGAGAACAAGACAAACTTGAGGTCTGACTTTGCCCTGTCCCAGCCCTGACTTTGGGGAATGGTCAGGAAAGTTCTTTTTCTACTTTTCAGATATAACGAAAATCAGTTGAAAAAATGTGTAAGTGGGGTCAGAATGGTGGTACAGTATGTTACTCCTCCACCCGGTAGCTTCGGCAACCCACATGGGCACAGATTCCTTTCCTGGCTGCTCCACATCTGATCCAGATGGGAAGCCAACAGAGGATGGCCCAAGACCTGGGGACCCAGAAGATGCTCCTGGCTCATTTTCAAATAAAAACAAAAAATCTAAAATGTTTTAAGCTTATTTTGGTGTTGAATACCTTGCAATGTAACTTCGTTTCATAATATACATATTCCATAAATTTCTTGAAAAGCACTCCTACATATATAAAATTGTACTAGTGCTTTAAGAAGATCAATAATAACCAAATACTCCTCAATGAGTGGACACCTGCATGAGAGCCTTAAACACAAGCGATATTCAAAGTTCATGGAAAACGCAGATAATGAAAAAACTGCAAAGATTTCCTTTTTTTTGGGGGGGGGAGCAGCAGATTGAGTATCTTGCAATTCTATTTTCCATAAACTTTTAAAAAGTATTCTGAACTTTGAATCATGGTATCCAGAAAGTAACATGCTTATCTTATGAATTTCTACCTGCAACCAACATTGTGCTACAGATATTTTAGGGGTCCACTTCTAAACCAACTTTAAACCAACTACATTCTTAATCTTTTGGTTCATTTAGTAAAGTTAAGGTGTACCAAAAAAAAAAAAAAAAGCAGAACCCTAAAACTAGGTACCAGTATTACTTAGGTCTTTTCTGTGACATGGGATAAAAGTTTACGCCTGTAAACAGCACGGTGTGGTGAACAGGTTAACGACCTGCAGCCCCAGCCTCCCCTCTGGGCAATGGTTTGAATCTCCAATGCTCCACTTCTGATCCAGCTCCCTGCTGATGCGCCCAGGAAAGCAGAAGATACCGACCCAAATCCATGGGCCACACCTGCCATGGAAGACTTGGAAAAAGCTCCTGATTCCTGCCAGGTGGGAGAACTCGAATTTATACCCTTTCTGTCACTCTCTTATCCAATAACATTTTTAAGGTAAAGAAGTCTATTAGCAATATCCTTACGTTAAGAGTGAAAAATAACTGCTTGGTGTCACATACCTTGGTGATAAAGTGCATTACAGCCTCATTAGTAAAGGAATATTCAACTATGTCACCCTGTACAATGTTCTACCAGCTTTAAAGATACTCTGTTCAACTGAGAAGTATCTATGAACATTCATATAACAGATAAATACAAGCAGAAGTAGATTCTAAGGGAGCCATGCAGAAAATATTTGATCCAATGTACAATGAAGCTGAGTTGTTGAAAGTGCAACAGAATGTGCAAAAACTCAAACAGGATATTAATAATAACATGGAAAAGAAGCTTGAAAAGCACAGTACGTCAAAGAGTTGAAGGAAAATGGAATAGATCAGTTTCATTTTGGCCAAAATGTTGCAACCAGTACTTTCAAAAAACTCACAAAAATGTTAATCACATTTAAAAGATCTATAGATTTCAAAAACTTTTGCGCCAAAACTTAGCTTATAATTCTGTCTTCCCTGAAATCTGTGATGTGTTCCTAGTGATATTCAGGCAGGGAAATAGTGTGAGACTGAGTGACAAAGAAAGGGAAAAAATTAGGTCAATAAAATTGAAAAGTCAAAATTTTCCCAAGAAAATTTGACAAAAATAGCCAGGAAAACAGAGTTTTCCAGTTATTTTTCAAGAAACAAAAACACATAGTGTAAATGTTCACATCTGGATTTTACATCAATTGGCTTTTCAGAATTCTAGTGAAACCATTACTGCTCACACTCAATCTCCATCACTCACTCACAGATCCAAGACACCAATGAAACTGACGAAACCAGAACATTAATAAATGCAGGGTGATTACAGCACCAAAATGAGTAGCAAAGGATATGAAAAGGTATTCAATGTCCAATGAAAACGGGAAAATCCTAATTAAACCAAAATGAGAGAGCGCCACAGACTCTATAATGGGTAAAATTAGCATGACTGACAGGTTGACAAGGACGCAGCAACAGAAATCCACCAGAGACCGAAATAACTGACACACACTTACCCTACACTTCTGACCCCAGACACTTTCAAAAGAAGAAACATGACATATACAATGTGCACAAGCATCTTTAGTCACAATATTCCCAAATCTGGAAACAATCCCAACCTGTCAACAGACAAGGGCCCCGCACGGTAGCCTAGGAACTCAAATCCTCCTCTTGCAAGCGCTGGGATTCCCATGTGGGCGCCAGTTCGTGTCCCGGCTGCTCCACTTCCCATCCAGCTCCCTGCTTGTGGCCTGGGAAAGCAGTCAAGGGCGGCCCAAACTTTGGGATACTGTTCCTGCGTGGGAGACCCAGAAGAGGCTCCTGGCTCTTGGCTTTGGATCTGCTCCGCTCTGGCAGTTGTGGCCAGTTGGGGATAATTCTATCTGTCTCTCCTCTCTGTATATCTAACTCTCCAATTTAAAAAATATGAAATAAATCTTTTTAAAACTTCATTTAATTGAGAAAAATTCTGGCCTAAAAAATAAAATGTGTACATGTTTTAGACTTATTATTTTCATTAGAAAGGCAGGTATATAGTGAAGGAGAGATGGAGAAAGATCTTCCATCCTCTGGTTCACTATTCAAATGACGGCAATGGGGGGAGCTGAGACAATCGAGCCTGGAGCTTCTTCCTGGTCTCCCACATTGGCAACCGAATCACAAGGGTTCAGGCCGTCCTCGACTGCTTTCCCATTCCGTAAAGCAGGGAGCTGGATGGGAAGTGATCCGCCAGGACACAAACCAGCACCCATATGTGATCCTAGCGCTTGCATGGGAGAGGATTAGCTTACCGAGCCATCAGAAACAGTAGAGCGAGGTGCCAACATTGTGGTCTAACAAGGTAAGCAAGCACATGTAAAACAGCAGCATCCCAAAGGGGAATCGAGTCCCAGCTATTCCCATTTTGAATCAAGTTCCGGCTAACGGCCTGGGGAAAGCAGAGCAGAATATGGCTCAAGTGCCTGTGTCCACGACACCCTACGGAAATCCTAGAGGAAGCTCCAAGCTCTTTTTTTCAACCTGGTCCAACACGACCCACTGCAACAGCAGATAGAAGATCTTTCCCTTTTATTAACAAATAAATCTCTTAAAAATTACTGAACAAAAGAAAAATTTATTTTTATCTTGAAGTTTTTCTTTTTTAATTGGAAAGTCAAGATATATAGAAAGGAGGAGAGAGAGAGAGAAAGAATTTCCATTCACTGATTCACTCTCCAAGCGGATGCAACAGCTGGAGCTGCGTTAATTCAAAGCCAGGAGCCTGCAGACTCTTCTGGGTCTCCCACATGGGTGCAGGGTCCCAAAGCTTTGGGCCGTCCTCAACTGCTTTTCCAGGCCACAAGCAGGGAGCTGGAAGGGAAACGGGGCTGTCAGGATTAGAAATGGCGCCCATACGGGATCCTGGTGCATGCGAGGCAAGGATTTTAGCTTTTAGGCTATTGTACCGACCCAAAGAAAAATTGAAATACATATATTTTAACATCCCACTTGTATAAAGTTCAAGGAAAGGCAAACATATCTTTAAGAGTAAGACACAGTTAAAAAATACCCATGCCAGGGCTGAGCACAATGGCTCATCAGTTAAATCCTCACCTTGCATGCACCGGGATGCCATACAGGTGCCAGTTCATGTCCTCACTGCTCCTCTTCCCATCCAACTACCCACTTACGGCTCAGAGCAAAATTAAGAGAGAAAGCAGTAGAGGATGGCCTAAAGCCTTGGGACCCTGCACCTGCACAGGAATTAAAGAAGAGCTCTGGGCTTTGGAGTGGCTCAGCTCCAGCCGTTGTGACCATTTGGGGAATGAACAAGTGGAAGGAAGGTCTTTCTGTCTCTCCTCTGTAAATCCGCCTTTCCAGGAGCCATGTAGAAGCCTTGTGGAAGACCCAGAAAGAAACCTGTGACTCCTGGCTTCAGACTGGCCTAGTTCTGGCCAACGTGGCCAGGTGGGGAGTGAACCAGTGGTTGAAGATCTCTCTCCTCTGAAAATGTTTCAGATAAAAATAAATAAATCTTTAAAAAAATTTTTTTTTTTTTACAGATACACACCATACACACAAAGTACATTATTTCCATAGCAACTCTGTCTGTTAACTCCGGCGTCCTAGTAAGACGCTGGGAGGCAGAGGCGATGGTCCAGCTCCTGGCCTCAATCGCCACCTGGGCGCCCTGGCCACTGAAGAAACTTGAAGCAGTGGGTGAGAATATGCGCTTCATCCACACACTTTATTGTGCCACCCTCATCACAGGCATCCCTCCCAGGTCACAGCTCAGACACCAGCTATCCCACTTCTGACTCAACTCGGCCAGAAGCTGGGAGAAGCAGCAGCAGCTGTACCTCTGCCACCTGCCTGGGAATGCCAGCACCCACCAGCTGACTCCTTCAGCTTGACACTGCCCTAGCGTGTGTGGCCAGCAGAGTGAACCAGCAGGTGAAGGTATTTCTTGCTCTTTCATTCTAATTTTTTTTTTTTAATTTCATGTACATAGAAAAAATAAAGTTAGCTATTGACACTAGCATTGCACGACATCTTGGATTCTCTGTTCCAAGGAGGAGGAAATAAGTTGAGAGGAAGCGAAGGACAAAATCCTGACTCTCTTAATATATAAAGTACAGGCAGTGATACACTTTGTGGAGTATGTAAGAGTTCTCCAAGTTGCAA